ACGACCACGGACTCTTCTAGACAGTCCAGTGGAACACTAGCAGGTTCGCAACCTGTAGGTGTTGTGAACGATGTGTTCACCGGTGTACTCCATCCCCCACATGGTTGCCTATTAGGACATTTATTGCTGAGGAATCCCCTTAGCAGTAGTGTCCGTCCCGATGATGATCCTTAGGCTAGGTCCCTTATGATAGGTGTTTAGGGACGTAAAGTGAGGATAACGGGAACGGGTAATCGGGTTATTGTTGATTGATGAAATTAATAAACTTATTTATTGTGGGTTGAAAACCCTATGTGCTCACCAGGCTCCCAAGCCTGACCCACTCAGTTTTATGTATTACAGGTAGTGGCGCATGAGCATAGGTGTGATGTTTTGGACGAGGGATTACGGATATAGGCCTGTAGATATGAAATAATGTAGTAAGGCTTATATTGTACTGTTTATACTTTTGATCTGTACGAACATGACATCCCGAGTCTTTTAATGAAATACATTTCTATGGAAATGCTTTTGATAAATCTTTATCATATTATTGTTTTGGGACAAATTCCGCAACCTTTATTAAAAGATAACTCTGATTTTGAAATAAAGTATAAACAAAACCGGTCTTTTCTGGCCGTGATTTTGGGGATGTCACAGTTGGTATCAGAGCATTAGTTTAAGCGAACTAGGAATTTGTAGGATTTCTAGACTTAAACTTAGAATGCTAAGCGATGATTGTGAGGTGTGAGCACTAGCTTATTTTAGGAATTGTGCCTAAAATGCTTTTATGTGCTAAATGTTTTATGCATGATATGCTGTTATTTTGTTCGGGATCTATGGTCTGTTGCCGACCGGATCTGGAACCTTATGTGTTTAGGATTCTAAACGTACGACTACGATATTAGAACTAGCATGTAAACGTTTCGGAGTGATAAGGACGATTTAAAACGTCTCTCCTAAATAAAGATCTAAATCCACCTTATTCGGTATATAGATCAAGATGGTAAGGACCCGTAGCGGAAACGTAAACGCAAATGGGAACGGACACCAACCCCCCGTGATCGAGCAAATACCAGTTGTGGAAGCCGCCGCCGACCAATAACGATGGCCGGAGTGCAAGCGATGATCCAGGCAATGTTGGATCGTCAAATGGAGGAAACCAGGCGTTTGCTCCAGCAAAATCGAGAGGAAGCGACTATTCAGCTCGAACAGCCCGAGTTGAACGAAGGGCAGACTGAAGAAGGAAACTACAGTGGGACTATTGGTCAAGCCAACCCACCGATAGTTAGGCAAAACCACCAGGATGGAGGAAATGATGGACGTGGATGCAAATACAAGGATTTCATGGCATCCAAGCCACCGAGTCTATCCGGAAGCCCGACGCCGGTGGAAGTCATGAACTGGATCTCTGAGATGGAGACAATGTTTGAGAGTTGCGAGTGTAGCAATAGGCAGAAGACTGCTCTTGCAGTTCCTCTATTGAAATCTGGAGTACTAAGCTGGTGGAAGCTATTAGCTGATTCAATGCCCAAAGGTGAAGCAAGCAAAATGTCGTGGGAGGATTTTCTGGTACAGTTGAAGATGCAATACTGCTCTGAGCAGGATCTTCTGGAGATCAGCAACGAATTCCAGAATCTGAAGAAGGGAAGAATGAGCGTTACTGAATACGCTGCAAGCTTTACTGAGAAAATGAAGCTTGTTCCTCACCTCGTCCCAACTGAACTCTCCAAGGTTAACAAATTTGCCCTCGGATTACCAGCGGACTTCGGTCCAATGGTCAAGCAAACTAGCACTCTGAAAGCTGCCATCTGGGCTGCTAAGAATGTGGAGACCCAGATACGAGAAAAGGGTCTGGAGAGAGCGGAAGTGGGAGAGAAACGGAAATTTGACGGATCCTCGAGGTCCGGTAAGAAAGGTAGATTCTCGAAGTCTAGTTCGAGAGGAGGAGGATCAGAAGCAAAGTGGTGTGACAAGTGCAAGAAGAAGCACTCTGGGAAGTGTGATGGAGGGGTCACTTGTTACAAATGCGGAAAGCCTGGGCACTATGCCAACGAATGCACTCTTAACCAGAAGGCCTGTTATGGGTGTAATGAAGAAGGGCACATTTTGAAGGACTGCCCGAAGAAGAAGGAGGCAGGAAGACCCAACATACCACCAAAGCCGAAGGCGAGAGCCTTCCAGATGACGCTCGAGGCTGCAAAGGAGGCAGCAGACGTCGCTTCAGGTACCTTTCTTGTAAATGGTTTACCTGCAAATATATAACATCATGTATATACAAGCCTTCAGCCTGACGGGACCACCTCACGGGGCCTACAATGTATCTAGACCGTTCTACGGGCCTATGGCTTGACTGGGCCACCTCACGAGGCCTACAATCTATCCGGACTGCCCCATGTATCTTGGCCTTCAGCACAAAGCAAGACTGCCTCAACCCAACCCATCATAATATGTTGACATATATACATAATAAAATAACAAATAATGACTAGCAAAACATGTAATCATACATGTAACATCCTAAAAACCAGGGCTAAATTTTTCATTCTTAACATAATATAACATCCATTTTTAGAAAAGTTACAAATATTTGTTTATAAACAATTTTTTCGAAATCGGAGTTAATAGGAAGATAATGCAAAATCTCAAATCATAAATTTGTTGATGTGAGTGTACAATCCTGCCATCGTAATCCGATAAGTACCTGCAAAATATTTAATCCACAACTGTAAGCACAAAGCTTAGTGAGTTCCCCCAAATACCACATACAACACAACATAATAATCAGCTAAAGGTTATCAACAGACTTTGAGGACTATCAGCAGTCCCAATGGGCTAACAGTATGCCCGGTGGAGTTACAGCACACCTCACGGGTTATCAGCAACCCTAGGTAGTACCAACAATCCCATGGACTTACAACAGTGCATGAGTTATCAGTTACTCATTTTAGAAATCAACAAATAAGACACAGTTGGTCGAAATACATATACTACCATACAAACAAGTATTGTGAAAAGACTCACCTTGCGAATAGTAACTTGCACACAACAGCTTACACATCGGGTAGACGGGTACAAAGAGACACCTAATATCAATAAAGAAGTACCTTATCAGCCTATACCATAAAACCCCAAAATTGACGACGTGTCAACTATGATCAAAGTCAACAGTCAAGGTCACAGCGGGTCGCCACGTTGTGGCCTCTTTGTTGGATGTGGGGACATGTAAAACGGTTGACCTTGTTTTTCTATGGCCTTAATGTCTAATGTTGACCCTCATTAAACTATAATTATGTTTTATTTTTACTAGTTTTTATTCAAAAAAAATTTATCATCAACAAACTTTTTGTATAAGTTAACATTTTTTGAAGACAGATTATTTTGATCTATCATAAACGTTTTGCAACTAAGGGATGACCCCGTGCGTTTCTGCGGTAAGTTTTTCGGACAAAAAATAATTTACCGTAATATTAAACTTAAGTACAAAAAAAAAAAAAAAAAAAAAAAAAAAAAAAACATTGGTAGTTTATTTACACATTCAAGTAAAAAGGACTTTAAATATTTTGGATTTAAACAAATTTTTAATATTATATAAATAAAAATTAAACGATCCCAATGAAGTATACAGATAAAAATTAGACAATCACAATACATTTGTGTACAAAAAGTTATAATAAAAAATTTGACTAAACAACTTCGGTTAATAATAATAATGATAAAAAGTTTATAATTAAAAAATAATGTAGTTAAGTTACTCCAAGAACATAAAGATTTACAAGAACTAAAGAACTTCTAATATGTTTATCATTTTCCAAAACAAAGACCAGAGACTCCTAGAGTTGCATCTAAGAGAAATCTGTGCTCTATCCAGAAATCCAGTGGTGGTTTTTGTTTTAACAAATGATGAGAGGATTAGAAGTCTACGACTTCTCGCAAATAAAACACCATCTTTACACTGATTTTTTTGTTATTAAGAAAATAATTAACTTGTAACATTACAATATTACCCTTCTCCCATATTGTTATTCTCGACACATTTTATTTCATGAATCTATATAAAATATTAACACTTACATTGAAATTAATTTTTCCATTACTTGTAACGAAAAAACCAAATAAATGAACAAAATTGTTTAGAAAAGAATAATCGCATGTCTCCTAAATTGATTGTGGAAGATGTTAGAATTTTGAGGTATTAGAATATCAATTAATTTGGATAATTTCTAAGATCGTGATTGCAATCACTTTCCAAAACCTGTGATTTCGACCCTTATGCTTGGAGTATCACGAAATCTGATTTAGGATAATCCAAGAGATGCAATTTGGAAATCAAGTTACTTCCAAATTCAAAACACAAAATATATACCTTGCTTTTTTGTGTGCTTTAGAGATAGAGTAATTATAATGCAATATCAAGTCTATGAATGTTCCAACCCCTTTTCTGAGACGAGAGAAGAGTTCTTATACAAGAGGGAAAAGTAGTTTGTGGTAGTTACATGCATTATGGTTATAAGACATAGCCAATTCTGACATGAGAGCGATGTCACTACTTTATAATTGGTGGGAAATGAATGGTTGGAGCTTAACTTGTTATGGAAATCCATTTAGGTTTCGAGGGTTGCCCTTTGGAACCCCATCCGCTAACCAATCAGTGGAAGTTTATAAGTATATAAAGTAAATTCTCATTTAAAGATATTGCTATTAATTTTTAAATATATTAAATACGATTAAATTAAATATTTAGGTATATATGTAACTTTATAGGTGTTATAAGAATAAACATGTATTTTGAAGTTTTATAAGGTTATAAACATAATCACAAATGTTTACAAGGATATAGACTAAATTTTCCTCTTTTTATACAATATGGTGTAAAAAAGGTTTATCCTTTTACTACTTACATAAATGTTTGTAGACTTAATTAAGGATTATCCTCATGTGAGTTTATAGGTGTTATAAGGATAAAAATGCAATTTCAAATTTTACAAGGATATAAACATAATTACAAAAGTTTATAAGGATATAGACTAAAGTCTCCTTATTTTATACAATGTGTTCTTTCTTACATAAATGTTTGTAGACTTAATTAAACATTATCATCCAAATTAACAAAAGTAAAGATCATATAAAACTATTTTAAAAAACATTTGATGTATAAAAACTAAAAAGAAACTTTTGCAAGGTCTTACAAAATTCTTCATTTGAAGATGACACTAACAAAACACTACCAAAAAAATCATATCCAAAAACCACAAAAGAACATGCTTCATACCATCCTCAGTCAAACAAACTGAATCCCATATCCTGCAAAAAATATGAAGAAAAAAAAAAGATAGTCAACAACAGGCAACCATCAAAAACAGTTAAAAAAACAAACAATGAATATCAATGGGTATAAAAGAGCTTACATCATCGGACTCTTCTTTCTCTACAACTTTCTCCTCTTTCTTTGGCTCAGCTGCAGCAGCTGCGGCGGGTGCAGCACCACCACCACCTGTGGCGGCAACTGCAACACCACCACCACCACCTGAAGGAACTGAAGCCAACTTCTCCCTTCCAGATGCAATCAATTCGGTGATATCTTTACCCTTAACCTCCGACAAGAGTAATTCAATTCTATCTTCATCAGCATCAGCTCCAACTGCATTAGTGAATATGATCATTATAATTGCCATTAAGCTAATCTTACAGCTTATGAAGTTCAGGGTTTACATGGATGCAACATGGCACCTTAATTAGAAATCTCATAATTCATATTGCAAGGAGCATCAGAACAAGCAACTTGAATCAGAAGTATCTCATTGATTATTAAAAAGTTTAATTCAGTTATCGAATACAATCAATATGCGTAATCATGAAAGTAAATTAGGAAGAAAAAAGATATACCTGAACCGAGGATTTTCTTCAAATCTTCAGCGGATGGAGATGTGTTACCTCCCAACAAGGCCAACAAATATGCGGCGATAACCTTCATATTGCTGAAAATACACCGTAAAAAGAGTTAAAAATAAAAATTGCAAATTCCTACTAAAATCATTTACGACGTCTAACAGCTCATCTTAAACGCCTACACAAACGCAATTTCAATTCAGAAAAAACAGCTTAGAATCTCAATAAATAGCAAATCATAGGATTTCGGGAAGGGATTGATAAAGGACAGAAAAAAAATGGTTGGATCGCTAAAATTGGTTTTCTCATTTGTTACGACATTGACACGTTTTCCTCGAAATCAATCAATTACATGATTCTGATATGCAGATAGGAAAGAAGAAGGTACCAGTGAGGTGTGCGACAGCCGGAGCTCTGTTACGTTTCGATGGCTCTTGCGTTAGGGTACAGTGGCCGGCGTAAAACCCTAAGCGTATTTATAACAGTTCAGAAGAATCGTCTTCTGTAATCTGTGCATTCATTCGTGGGCTTCGTCCAAAAGTTCCAGTCCATGTCATCTTGTGTGGGCCTTCACTGTGACATAGTTTGTGTCTCTAAAAAAATTCTAAAAAATAATAATAAATGTTGGAAGTATAGAACATGACTTCAAGACCTTTTTGCTTCGTTTTAACTTCATGATAAATAATGTCAAATAAATAAAAATTTGTTATAAATATTTAAGTATTTAATTATATTTTTCTTTTAAGATTCTTGGAACTCTAGTGATTTTCTAAAAACTGCTCGAGCCTACAAATAAATAAACAAAGCAAATCGTATCTAAGGTATCACATTGCACGCATCATAAGATAATCTTGTAAGAAGTAAATCTCAGAACACAAATGGTTAAGAAAGTGTGCGTTTTTGAACGGGAGATCTTGATTTTATATTTCACTTTTAACTGTTAGATTTCCGAGAGATATTTATGCAGTTCCAATATTTTTATTAAACTTTATGTTTTTTGATAATAAAGTCCTAACTATTGACAGTTTTTGACATGTTTATCTATTTTTTCCGGTTAGCCGGTAATTAGAACTTTATTGTCAAAAAAATAAAATCTAGGGTTTTCTTATCAAATCGTGAATTAAGACTTTACTATCAAAAAAATAAAGTTTAGGACTTTCGTATCAAATCGTTGAACATATTGGGACTTTAGTGTATTTCTATAGTCCAAGAACTTTTAATTGTGATTTTTATTGCGGCACCACTGTTTTTCTTACCATCATCATTTTTACTCTGATGCAATCATGATCAGGGGAAACAGATGCAAAAGAAAGAGCGAGAGAGAGTGAGAAGACTTGTAAAACTTTGTTTTTGGTTCGTCGTCAAATCTTGAACCGATAAGTGGGGACATATTGTATAAATACAAACAGCAAATGTCTAAGTCAAAAGGGTGTGAATGTGGAGAATGAATAAGAATGACAGTTTCGTTTTTTCAATTTCTTAGTTCTCCATTTCTAGGATTGCAAAAGTGAACACAACCTTGGTTCTTTATTTCTTTCTTGATTATCTATATTTTTTTTAATATCGGTTTGTTGAGATTAAAAAAAAAACTATTTAACAAGAAGCAAACGTTAAGTATTTCAATAGAATCTAGCTGATCAAAAAAAGTTTCAATAACTTTTATGTTTAAAGACCATGATAACATTAAATTTCTAACCAAAAATGGATATATACACTAAAATCTCAATATTTTTAACGATTTGATAAAAAAATTATAAATTTTATTTTTTAACAGTAAAGTTCTAATTCACAATTTGATAAAAAAAAATCATAAACTTTATTTATTAACAATAAAATCCTAATTATCGGTTAACCGAAAAAAAAATTATAAACATGTCAAAAAATACTAGTAGTGGTAGTTAGGACTTTACTAACAAAAAAAATAATATTTAAAACTTTTTTATCAAATAGATAAAAATTTTGAAACTTTAGTATATATATCCTTATCAATATGTTAAAAAAAAAAAACTTCCAATAAAACAAAACAAATAAAGCATTTATCATGTGTGTTTAGGCCATCAACGATGATTAATCATCATGAGGCTAAGTTTTACAACATAATTCTCCAATAGAACAAAATAAATAAAGCATGTATCATGTTTGTCTAGAGCAATATCATCAACGATGATGTTAATAAATCATAGGTATTAATGAAAGACAACTAAGAAAATTGGAGCTAAAACCACGAAAGGATAATATAAGAATCCAAGAACATTAGTATCTCATTGCCCTAATTTTATATATCAAACCCTCCTACCAAGTAACATATAAAACCAAGTGAATCTTGACTAGTAGATGATGATAAATAAAGAGACAAAAACATTTCCTACAAAGACTATAACACATGTTAAAAATCCATCCATCTGCTGCCACTTTGCAAGAAAGGCAAAACCAACATTACCACAATAAGGGCAAATAACAACGTTCTACAAACATAAACATCCACATCCACATTAAACCTGTTTTGTTTTTTTCTCAAAATTTTCCAAACTCTTCTATTTAAACCATAAGACTCTTACTACTACGCTTCTACCTTCTTCTTTTTCTTATCTTTCTTCTTACTTCCCTTCTCATTTTCACCTTCAGTTTCACCATGTTTTCTCTTCTTTTTCTTCTTCCCTTCAACCTCAACATTCTCCTCCTCTTCCTTCTCCACTTCATCATCACCATCTTTCTTTTTCTTTTTCTTTTTATCTTTCTTTTTATCACCATCTTCCTCATTCACCACCACCACCACTTCCTCATCTTCACCACCCTTCTTTTTCTTCTTCTTTTTCTCTTTCTTTCCATCACTCCCCTCCACCTCATCTTCAACACCCTCCTTCTTTTTCTTCTTCTTTTTATCTTTCTTTCCCTCATCAATGGCTGCCACCATCTCTTCATCTTCCTCAGCCTCTGCTTCCATCCTCCCAAGAACAGAATCTGCTGCCACATTATAAGTCTGCAATACATAACATAACATAACATTAACATTTTAAAATATAACAAAACAGAGTAACAAAAATATAATCAAACCAAAAGAGCACACCTTTGCAGGAGTGATCATAGCTCCATCTCCTTTCTTGAGATCCTTATTATAAACCTCAATCTTAGGCTTCCCTTTCGTTGATCCAGCAGACTTCCCAAGTTCTCGCCCTTCAAGACTCCTCAATCTTGCTTCAAGCTAAAACCAATTAAAAAAAAAAAGTCAACAAACATTCAACAAAAAAGTCAAACATCACATAGCAATACCTTGAGACGATTCTCCATTCCCATAGAATTATCTTGACTATCTCCAAGAGCATCATATCGAATTGCTAAAGCTGTTTTAGCAGCAAGAGAACGTGAAATCTTTCCCTTATGTTTTGGTGCAGCTTGACCTATTAAACTTGCATGATAAATAAGACCATATTTAGGTGTTGCATGTTTTGTCTTCAAAGCCCTAAAAAGAGCCTTTTCAGCTCCAAGAATCTGAACTGTACTTCCAGGCTGTTTTGCAAGATTCAACAAACTACCACCATGAGCAATCAATCGAGCTCCAACAAGCTCTCCAACAATGGCAGTTAAATTAGGGGCAATTGTATTCATCCTGCTTTTCAAATAATCATAAAGTTGAGCTCTGTATTCTGAAAGAGACAACACTTGGTCACATAAGTCCTTGATGTTGACCAAGTCAAGGTCACTCACTTCAGTTCCCATGGAAACTACAGCTGCCTCTTTTAGTTCTGTCTCCACCTCTTCTTGTAGTATCTGTATAAAAATGGTGTTATAAGTAAGTTTATAAGTATGGGAACAAGAAGGAACAAAAAGGGTATAAATGTAATTTACCTCAGAGAAATCAAGTTTTGCAGCATTTGTGCGATAACCCATGAGTTTGACTGCCTTTGCATATAAGATATTGTCTTGTACGATTTTAGCAAGTTCTGGAAAATGCCATCCATACCATTCACGCACCCTCATTGCATAAGTGTTGAGCTCTTTATCAAGATCATCTAACAAGCCAATAGCTTGAATGATCATGGTGTCCACCTTGATCATTTTTTAGAAAAACAAGATGTTCAGAAACATGTTCATGGTTCATGCATGAAGATAGAATCATACTATGAAGTTATGAAGAAGAAGAAGAAGCTTACTTTATCTGGGCTGAACTTAAGTTTGTATCTAGACAAACTGTGAGATAAACCCAAGCTCATTGGGGCTAAATCTTGTGCGCCTAAACCGGTTATGAGTTCTGTCAATTGACTTCTGACTCCTCTCATAAGTTCCATGACAGTGTGGTTGTGAACACATTCGATTTGCTATAAAAGTGGATTGTTTGAGATCAAATTCAAATATTCAGAAATGAAGACGAGAAACATGATGATTACATTTTTTTTGAAGGGAAAATACAACTTACTAGTTTTTCCTTGATGGCGTTTCCAAGTTTGGAGTCTGCAACAGCCAATGTCTCGCCATCACAATGAGAACGCAAGAACTTGCGCAGACCTTTGCTGGGCTTGCTGTCGATTAACAGGGTAGCTGCTGAGAGTGCTTCTGATGTGTTTTCAAACTTGGAAAAGGCTTTTAGCTTTACCACCTGTCGATGAATGAGCTCGTAAGTATATGTTTTCTGATATTTATGGTAGAGATTCGTATGACCAATTAATAAAAGCAAAACACAGATCCTGTTCGATTCTATACAAAAACTTCGATTGCATTGAAAAAAAAAAAAAAAAACAGAACGAATAATAACAATGTTAGAAATCGACCTGTCTGGCTGCATCCGCAGATGAGAAGTCCTTCCACAGATCCTATAAACATACAATGAAAACGATCAGAAACATATAAACACACACATACAGCTATATCTACACTTGCACCATGTGTATGTACTCACATCAACTTTTGAGAGCTTTCCTTCATCCAATACTTTAAAAAGGGCAAAACCCGCGGGGGTTTCAAAAAGCACTAACATTCTCTTGATTCTTTCAGATTATCCTGAAAAACAAAACATAAATCAATTATTTCTTCTTCTATTTTTTTTCCTTCAAACAGAAGGTTTAATCTTCAAGTAGCTACAAAGCCTGCAGACGGAGGCTGCTACGGGATATTAACGAACCCTAGAAACCGCTTTACCTCCAACGAGTTGCAGCCGCTTATGGAGGAGGTGGTGAAAGAGGCAGAGAATTAGGGTCTAGGGTTTAAAGAAGAGGAGACAGGGTACATCAGAGTAAGGTATAAATATGGCCCTCATTCTTATTTTATTTTATTTTATTTTGTAGACAAATTTCCATTAATAGTCCATGATTTTAAGAAAATAACAAATTAAGGATAATAGCAATGATTTACAAATATCAACCGTTTATATATAGTATCATGTCGACTATATTTTATAAGTGCTTCATAAAAATATCAAGTTTTGGTCTAAACAATTATTTATGGTGGAAACAGACGAAAATAAATTTCGAAAATTCATCTTAAAGAAATTAACAAAACTGAAAGCTAAAAAAAAAAAAAAAAAAAACTATACAAAATACAAAAAGATAACCTTAAAATCTAATAAGGGACTAAAATCGTAATTTATAAGATATAATTTAGACAAAACTACAAATTTAAAAATGTTTTTAAATTGCATGTCCAAAATCAAAACATTTCTACAATTTTAGTCCAAAAAACTTGAAAAGACGATTATGCTCCTTTATTTTCTTTTTTGTATTTTATATATTTATTTAATACCTTTTTTAATTAAAAAAAATAACATATCCCACCCTATCACTCTATTCGACCCTCCCCTCACTCTTTCACTCCACCCGACCATTTCCTTTCTCTTTCACTCTCTCTCCCATCTTCTTCTTCTTCACCCTTCACTTACTTTGAAGATAGCTTGATTAGCGATGAATCATCCTCCACCACCGGAATCGTCAAAGCTTGGATCTAAAGTTGTTGATGTGTCATCAATGGTGCTCAACGATTATTATGAAATTGGAATATGACATCAGATGCACACCTGAAGAAAATGGATTAATGTCTAAGTCCATAACTATAATTGGTAAGACTTGACCCGACCCGGCATGGTCCATTTGGGTTGCATACCATCATGCACTTGGATAGACTAAATGAGAGAAATAAAACACTTATGGTTATTAATATATTATAAGTTCTAGTATATTAATAATAAGAATAATGAGATTATTTAATTAATATTGATCAAGAATTAATCTAGCATTAATTGAGTGATCAAAAGAAGACTAATTAAATATATGGGTTGATTGTGTAAATCATCCATACTTGTATAGTGGGCTAATGCTCCATGGATTATCTAGTTGGGCCAAAACCCATATGATGCTCCATGGATGCTCCATGGTGTATTTGAACCCATGGATCCAAGGAAATGGAAAGTCATGACAATTAGGGTTTACCCTAATTGTATAACTATATAAGCATCTTATTCTTGAGGAAAATCGGCCACTAGAGAGTAGAAAGAGAGGGCTAGCCGATTTCATGAAGTGTAGAATTCTCTCTAAGTTATTCTAAGTGTTTTGATGATTGTGAACCATTTGAGGTGTCACACTTGGGGCACTAGGCACTCAAGCTTCATGAAGACAAGCACATCAAAGAGGTATGTATTCTATCTTGTTATATTGATAGTTTTGTATGCTAGTTAGGATAATACCTTGGATATTCATATTTGCATGTATAATAGAGAAAACATAGATCCAAGGTATTTAGGGTTGCATGTACACTTAGGAGTGTTAGAATGCTCATAACCCAACAGTGGTATCAGAGCCTAGGCTTGTTTTCTTGTTATACTTGCAATAGAAGCTGAAAAATCGAGTTTTGTTGCTGTCACCCAGCAGACTCGCCGAGTCCATGAAGGGACTCGACGAGTCCAAGGCAAAATGCATCCAACTCGCCGAGTTTGTTCATGCACTCGACGAGTTGGACCCCAGACAGCATATTTTCGAGGTTTTTGGCTAGAAATGGACTAGGAACATTACCCTAAGTTGTTTTTGAACTTATAAACTTGTTTTTTAATGTGGTAATGTTCATGCTAATCCATTTTCAAAGATAATTGTCAATAGATTCATGTTTTGTATTAGTTTAAAGACTAATTACATGAAAAAGTTTGATTTGAATTATCTTGTTCTTATGAGTTGCTTAGATTAATAGAAAAGTTAATTGAAATAGTTGTTTTCAATCCATTTTAATCTAAGAGTTGAGTATAAAATGTGTTTGTGTAACTTGTCCTCAAGTTACATGAAGAGTCACATTAAAGACTCATAAAACTCATAAAATTGGCAAAGGTTACAAAAATGAAGAGTCTAGTTCTAATTAATTGGAGTTATGACTCCATAATTTGTCCTCAAGTTATGGAGGACCAAGAGTCTCTTCATTAAATAAATAAAAAAAATAAAAAAAATGTAACCTTAATTAATTCCATAAGTTATAAAAATAAAGAAAAGTTAATTCTTTTATTAGTTTAAAGTCTTCCATAAGTTATGGAACTTGAAGAGTTTTTGGATTAAAACTACTTTAAACACATAAGTTATGGAATTAATTAGTTTTGAATAGTTTCAAAACTTGCCCTCAAGTTTTGGAATTTGTAAAGTTTTCTCTTATGAATACTTTAATTCCAAGTTAGCCCTTAGAATTTTAAAAGTTAAAATTCAACCCTTATACTTTATAATATAAGTTATAATATATATATATATATATATATATATATATATATATATATATATATATGTATAAGAGTAAAGTCGTCTTACCGCTAGTACGCCTCATTCACGAAGCCGGTCTATAAGGTGGGTATAAGGTTGTTGCCTATAAAATGGCAACTTAATGGGTGTCCACTCTCACCCACCGCTTGCTTGACTGGTGGAGGGTCGTTAGCCGAACGGGTTTGACAGGACTATAATTCTCCCTTCATTAAAAGTATTAATGATAAATACTAAGTAACTAAACTCTTAATAATTCCCAATCTTAGTTACTTAGGAAAATGTGAATAAGGTGCTAATCCATGAAATTACACTTTACACTTTGTTAAGTCGTTAGTGGAGCGTGTGTGGTTAACCGGCACACTAACTTGGACTTAACAAGGTAGGTAAAGGGTGACTTAATATTTATCATAGTATCGATGGAGCGTGTGTGGTTAACCGGCACATCGATTGAGGGGTAAATTAAGGGTACCAAGTAATTTGCATGGTTACTTCACACCTTGTTTTGTGATCCTCGGCATCCCAGTCACAAAACCTGAAGGGCACACTCGAGATTGAAACATGCCATTGAACAGTTCAATGAATCTCAAAAGATCTAGGAGTTTCAAAACCAATTAAAACCTAATAATACATTTCGTTTATCTTGGTGGAAATTGGTGAATCGTCATTCACCTACCTTCAAATTGTTTTATAGCTTGGATTACGGCATACCTCTTCTAAGTTATAAAATAGTTTGTTGGGTCCTAGCCTTAATATTTCATATTGGGTGTCATATTAAGGACTTTAAGATCAACTATCTTGAATATCTCCCAAAACATGTCTGGTTTAGACATTTATGATCTTCCCAAATCTCTTGAAACAAGCTTTCCTAAATGAAGATGATGTCCATGGAAATCATACTTCTTTCACCTCCTCCAATTATTCTCCCTACCCCACAAGTTCTTTAAAAGTTTAAGTCACTCGAGCCCTATTGGCAAGTAAGGTCTAGGTGTGATCACATCTTGGAGATGTAGTCACATATTGACAAGCCGGGAGAGTTGGGTGTCAAAGTCTTGAGAAAGTTGGTGGTTCAATCACTTTCTAAGTCACATAGTGAGTTCTTTTGGAACACCTATGAAACAGACTATGACAAGACCCTTAATGATCTTATCTATTTGCTAAGATCAACTTCCTGAAACTTTATGGACATTGACAATGGTGACACTGGAAATACAGAAAAAACATTCTCTTCCCAAGGAAAGGGATTGACCATAGTCAACTAGGTTGACCAAATGGTAAAGAGAAAAGGCTAAGTCTGTAATAGTCCCGTGTACCATTATCAAAGGGTCCATATGTTTATATTGCCAAAGAAGGGTCATTAGTTGCGAAGCTGCCAAATTTACCTAAGGATGTTAAAGTCAATAAGTTGACTCTACTTCAGGTAAAGTCCACTAATCTAACTCTGTTAAGTTTCTATTCTGAGATTCCTGATACATGATGTGACTGGGTCACATGGTAATGTTTTAAGAATCAAAGAAAAGTAAAGGAACTTAAAGAAAGAATATGCTGAATCTGATCGCATAGATGGATTTCTATCGCGTAGTTTGAAAATCGGATTCTTGAGCTACTTCTTAGGAGTTATGAGATATTGCTTAGGAATAGATAACAACAAGTTTTCATATGGATTGTAAGGATAAGTTTTTCCGCATAGTTTTAAAATAAAAGAAAATTTTGATTTTATTTATTTTAAAATATCCTTACAATGGCATTTGAGGAAAAATTGTTGCTTATATGATTCCATTAATAGCAAGAGTGGAAATATGAAATTGATTCCTTCATTTGTGGTAATGTCTAAATTTACCAAATAAGGAAAGATTCTCATCACCAAGTCTCAATTGGACCGAAACTTGGAATCATGCAAGTTGTATAGCATGATGAATGAGAACTTTCAAGTATTGGAAAAATTAAGACTAATTACTTGTTCACATGGATGTGTGAGTCAAGTAATGGACTAAGGGATCGAGTACATAGTCATGTGCACTGATTAAGTCCACCACAAAAGATATAAGGCTATTCGTCATAGTTTACTAAAGCTCAGTAAATATGATTATACTTACAAGCTTAAGTGTAACTCTGAGACATTGGAAAAGGTTCCAATGCATGGCAGAGCGAATAAGAAGAATCAAATTAGGCAGAAGGATAAAAGTTTCTCAAATCTGAAAAGATGGGAGAGTACTTTAGTATCAGTTTTGTGATCATCTTAATGATTAAGAAACCATATCAAAATTAGTTCTCTAAGGAAGTCTTAGTGCATTCTTATGACTAAGAAGAAGGGATCTTGAATTGTTGAAATGGTTAAATCAAGAAGATGAGTCATACTTCGTTCCAATACAAGTCTTAGAGTCATACTCCAAGATTGTAATTTGAGTGACATGTCTTTAAGAAGGTTTAAAACACGTGTCAAATGTAAGAGTAAAAGTTCTACTCTTTCATTTGAAATTGGTAAGTTGTGATGTTTTGGATAAAACAAAGACCAACTTAGGCCAATTGTGAAGTGTTTGTCTTGGTTAGAATCCACACTATCTCTTGGATGTTTGACAAGGGAGTCTTATAGGTCAAGAGGACAGTGGGAGTCTTAAAGGTCTTGAAAGTCTC